AGGCCGGCAACCATTCTAGTGGCGGCCCGCTGGACACGCTCAATGAGGTTGACGTCTTTTGTACGTCCTGAGTAGACAACTTGGTTGGCGTACTCCAGGAGCGGTCTGACGTAGGCCCAATAGAGTACTCGGAAGTCCATGCGAGTAATACGTGAGAAGGTGCGTCGGATCATCCGTAAAATGCCGAATGCCTTTCTGGCCGATTTCTCATGGTGCAGTAAGAAGGACAAGTTTGAGGAGACCCAGATGCCCAAATCCTCTTTGGCATCCATCCTCATGATGTTTTGTGGCCACTTTTAACCGTGCATAACAAAGGCATTCGCTGAGTCTCCTCCAAACAACGTTTGGTCGTCATTCAAAGGAAGGTGCCGAACCAACGACCACTGCTTTGCAGCGTCTACATCCATTTGGAGGTCACTGGTATTGGTACTCCAGGATTTCAAGTCGTTCGCAAAATGTAGACGTGGGCTCGCAAGAACATCTGGGAGGTCGCTGACGTAGATCAGAAACAGGATTGGTCCCAGGACGGAGTCTTGATGATCTCCGGGGGAGACCGGCGCTGGAGAAGAGTAGGTCGAACCTATTCTCACTCGGAATGATCTGTCTGATAGGAACGCCTTGATCCAGTGAAGAATTTTCCCTTGAATCCCGTAAGACTCGAGTTTGTTGAGCAGTGGGACGTGTGGGACCCTACCAGATGCTTTTGTGAGGCCGAAAATTATGGCATCCGATATGAGTCCTTCGTAGTTGGCTTGTGCTAAGCTATCCATAAACACGAGCATGTTTGTCACGCAAGAACGGTTTGGGAGAAATCCGTGTTGAGCTGGAGATATCAGACTGCTGGAAGTAAGGTGGTCTAGGATAGCTCGCATCAGAATGCGTTCCATCACCTTGCACGGTAAGCTAGTGAGGCTTATAGGCCTGTAGCTGCTAGACGACAGTGGGTCACCAGTTTTGTAGATTGGCGTGACAAAGCAGAGCGAAGGCGGCCTCCGTCAAGCGACGGACAAAACACCAGATATAGATGATTTGCCAGTGTGTAGGATGTTTCCTTCAGGATTCTTGGATGGACCTCGTCGGGTCCCAACGCGCAGAATGGGTTGGTCTGTTGCAAGAGTTGAAGAATATCCTCCACCATGAAGACCAAGTCGGTTAGGGGCTGTTCGTATTTCCGCCTTGACAAGAGTGGATGTGACGAAGACGCTGGGGCTGAGTATAGACAAGCATAGTGCTCTCTGTAAACCTCACTGTTGGGTCATTCGTCGGTTCACCGTTTCTGTTCCTCCAGGAAGACGCGGATGGTTTGTTTCTGGGGCCGTTCCTTTGTCCATGCTTCTGGTGTCCAAACCAAGACGACCACCCAATCGGGCTTCAGCAGCGCTTAGTCTACTTACCTGGACGTTCATATCACCAACAACCACAACGATATCTGAGCACTTAACCTGCTGTAGAAGGGCACGTAGATTGTCATAGAAACTCTCCTTGACAGAGTCAGGACTACATTTAATTGGGGCGTATGCAGACACAATAAACAGGGTGCGATGAACCTCACTTTCTCTAGATTCTCTCGCAGATGTTGCCAAACGAACCGCACAGAGGCGACTGTTTACGGGTATCCAATCAAGCAGAGACGCTTCCGCTCGTTCGCTCAACACAATACCCACCCCAGTATATCCAGCTGCAGCAGCCTTTGCAACACCAGAGGTGCGCAGCCGGAACCCGAAAGAGAGTGAGGGGCAGTCAGTTCGATGAAAGTACTTGCGACCTGAATCTTTGTTTCTGACGAACAACGTACGTCAATGCACAGGGAATCCAGCGTGCGACCAGGAACCACATGTTGACCTGCTTGCTTTAGTGTGCGAAAATCAAAGGTGGCTAAGTAGACAGGCTTGCGGGGTTTGAAAACATACTTCGAAGTGTTAAGGGTTGTGACAGAGCTTGGACGTACAGAAGCTTCAGCTAAGTGGGACCCAGGGCGAACAACACGGTCATTCCTAGAGCTGGGACCTGCGGAGAAAGTATTCTAATTTGGGTGAGGGAGGATGAAAGAAGGAAAGGTGAAACTGTAAAAAGAGAGGCGTCAGCTGTAGCACGTTTTCACTTGCCCGCCCTGTGTATGCAGCAAGCAAGGCAACCCGGCTGATGGCACCACGCGACGGCCGATGTGGCATGAGAATATTTTTATTTGTGTATGTCATGGTTGCACCAGGGCTGAGATACTGCCAGGGTTCCCACACCTAGACAGGAGGACGATTAGGGCCCTCAACCGAAGCCTTTGGCTCAAATGCCCAACCGCAAGGCAGCGTTGTTGGGCTAGAAATGCAAGTGCAATTTTTACGGAGCACGTCGCCACACATGTCCCAATCCCGAACCTGGAGGGCCAGGTGACTGTGTTCGTCGGGCCTCTACCCATGGACCAACATGGTATGAGAGACTCTGCGAGCATCGTGCGGACACTCTCCAGTATAGCTCAATGGTATAGCCCAAGGGGCGCAGGGTTACCCAAACCGCCACAACACTGTAGGGTCCAGTCTCTTCGTGACGGTGAGCGGTGTAATCACACCATTCAGAAGCACGGTGAGGGACAAACACATTCTTATTATTCTGGTATTTGTTGTAGATATAGGGGCTGTGACAGACATTAGACCATTAGATTTGGTACGCTATTCCTCAAATAGCTGACAAACACTGTCGGAAGCCTCACTGACGGGGATAAGAAGTGTAAGAAAAGGCGATTGGGCGAATGAACCCTCAAGGATACTCAGCATTAAACCGTATGAACGGCATTCTGAATATTGTTTTTGACCCAAACTCCTGCATCATTCACTGGCCGTACTTCCGTTTGTAGTGACCAGCTGTACGGGTGATCTCTATTCATTTATCCATCTCTTGGAAACTGTATATGTTAAGGCGATAAATACCGCGGTTTTCAAAATTGTTGTTGTCAGTCGTTACACCGTCGATAACGGGACGGACATTCTGTGTTCACTTGGATACTTAAACGGCTTGTCAATGATGAAGAGCATTCAGCCATGGATGTAGTAGTGGAATTTGATTACGTTGCAGAAGAAACAGATGAACTGACCATAAGAAAAGGAAATATAATACGAGACGTCTCACAGTTCGAGGATGGATGGTACATTGGAAATCTGAACGGAAAAATTGGAGTGTTCCCGGATAACTTCGTTAAGGTCAGTTTGTGTCTGTCCCTCAGTGTTATGCAAACAGTCTTAAGTTTTGGACCAAAATTAATTAGTCACTGCTCGTAAATGAATGTGGTCCAGTAGATCAAGCTTAACGCTCCTGCGAACCATGGAGCGGAAGTAGTCACTATATAGAATGGTGTGCACGTAGGAACCCCATTCATTGAAATTATATATATATATATATAAGCCTATATAAAACTCAACGCCTGAATATCTTCAATGAAAAACAAGGGTTTATCCTGCCCGATTTCCTTCGCTAAATATGCCATTGGAGGTCGGCGTATTAAGTGCCATAAGTGCCACACACTCGGATGCTGATGACTGCTGTAGTTTGAGGTTACTGTTACCACAGCATATGCTGCGATGACATATTCCCCTTTTAAATTATGAGCGCGCAGGTTTGGCTTGCTTCAACCCACCCATCAAGTTAATGGCGCTAAGTGAATTATTTATGATATTCGAGGGTGTGAATGCCCTTCTGGCTCGCGCTTTCACCAGTTTCTGCTGTAACTAAAATGTTTATCCGAAACATTCCTGACCGTGTAACCAAAAACAACGTGACTCTATCCAATAGAAGGCCCGCGAACCACATGCAGACGCGATCTTAGGAGTGTCGTGACCACATGTCACATCTTTGCAAGACTACCACCTGATATCCGTCAGCTCCACTTGGAGAAAAATGACCTTATTCCAGGGAGAATTTGAAGGAAAATACTGAGGGTACAAGCCAGTACCACGCAAATGAATTTTCATCCAAGGGCGTATACATCCAGTTACAAGCATCTATAAATGTTTGTGAGGGCGCTCATTTCGGGTGCCATCTAATGATTAACCTGTGTGTGCAATCCGACCGAAGGTTTTTCGTGTTGGGTAATTTGGAAGTGCGTCGTTATATGAGTCCAGACAAATGATGACGCTTTGTGTCGCACTGCTTTAGTAGTCCAGAATCTGAGCCTTAGCAGTGGGTTCACCAAAATGGATGAACCGCATTCTCCTGTGAGATGCTCCTCTTTATCTTATATGATTGTGAATGGATTCATTCGACCTCACGGTGAGGCGGCGGTCGTCCAGAGGATCTGCCATCCAAACTACAGTGATTTTGTATATTTGTTTGCATACAGCATTTTTTGGGTTCTCATTGCGCGTTAGTGCCACCACTAACAAAGAGATTGAACACTATGGATCACGCTAAGGAACCTCACATCCGGTTCTGATCAGTTCGCCTTAGGTATTTTAGATGGTTCGCTTGAATAGATTACTCCCACTCAGTATAACTTTATGGATTTCGATGAAGCCAGATGTTTTATATCTCTTTAATGTGATCTTTCTGCTTACCCTGTTTCTTTCGACCCCCCGGAGATGGCGACTTTCACATACCTCTTTAATGTACAAGAGTAAACAACCAAAAATTTGGGAATTAAGCCTTTACCATTTCACATAATGAGCACCATGTTTTTGCACCATCGTCCACAGAGAATCACATAAGTGGCTGGTATGGCAAGCCCTTCCATACAACATACAGTTCCTAGTCTGTATTCCACTGCTATCTGTACAGTAGGTTTTGTAGCTCCATTCTGCATGCACCCATCTTGTGCATGAATTCCAGTTTTTATCATTGGTTTGCATTATAATAGGTCGTTGAGGTTTTCATGTGATGCTATACAGTATTTATGGGTATCAGACTGCCATTCAGAATTCAAGTATATCTTCGAAATGCAGGCAAGGTAGGACTGGGATTAACTGAAAGCGAAAGTGTCTTACATAACCCACTTTGTTCAAGAGTTTGGGAAAGGATAGTGATGTTTGGAGTAAATGACCTACTTTGGGTCGAATTGACATCAAAATCATATGATCATGGATGCATAATCATACATATATATAATCATTGATATTTTTACAGAATAGCCACTAGCCAACTTGCATTATCTCACCGTGCTTTCCGGACTTGAAGTGCGGGTAAATAAATATATCTAGAAAGAAAAAGCAGTGTCATGTGACAAGAGGTCTATTTTACGTAAGATTTCCCAATTACTCCTTGCCAACGTCAAAAAAGTTTGTGTGAACAACCGAGTTAGGTAACCCTCATCTGCTGGAAGGATAAAAGGGCATTATGACGCCTTTAGCGACGTACAATCTCAAAGCGGTTGCTGAAGATGACACTATAAATGATACTATAGAAACCTATGGGTGTACAACGAGCATGATGCTCGTCATTTGGGTTTCAGCAGGCTGTAAATAAAAGCTCATCAAAATCACGGCACACAAAGGAAACCACAAAGCAACCCGTTCAGTTTATGTCGGGTCTTTTTCGTGCATATAAACGTTTGGTGATGCACTATCAGGGTCACTGGCGAAGGTGGCATGAGCACAGTTTCAGAATCCTTTGCTCAGTATTTCAAATTCAGACATGCGCAGAAGGGCTTCCGAAAAGGGTTAGTTTTAAAGAGTACACCCTCTTCCCAAAATCAAACAAGGTACTGCTAGATATTGCTGCGCCTTAATCACCTAATTGAATTCATTTTGCGGGTTATTGAAAGCATCATTTTCCAACTGATTTTCCGAAGCTGACTTTGAGGTGCCCTTCCGCTAAAGTGAATATCAAGATAATTCTTATGGATGAGTGCAAAACGCTTGGCTTTGACAATTAAACTAATACAATAGTGTGTTAAAAGTCATTTGGTTTTATTGGAGTTAAAAAACGGATTAATATTGTGCCACATTTTGAATAGTGTGCAAAGAGTATTTGGTGGATCGCCTATATAAGCAGAAAGTAACACATCAGCTCCGGCTAATTCTATAGTGACTACGGACTATTAAATATGCTGTGAATACATATTGTGCGCAAAAACAGAAAGTAATCCTCGATCACGAAAGGAAAGTTCCACGGGCTTGGATGCTCTAAAGGAGCTAATATCAGCGGCAACAAGTTTGACAGCAATACCGTTAGCCAAGATTTGGAGTGACTGGTCGGAATGCAAATTTGTAGTGCGGAATCGACGTCTGTCAAAAGAGGACAATAAAGGTATTCCTTCAAAATTGTTGCACTATAACAGTTAGGGTAATATACTTAGTGCATTTGGTATGAGTGCAGGAAAAAAATCGTTCAGCTGTAGCACCCTTTCGGTGTCTAACTGCCATGCGACCCGAAGGTTGCACGAGGGCTGGGATACTGCCAGGTCGCCTAAGCCTAGACAGGGGAAGTCGAGTGGCAGATGTCGGGTTAGAACCACGAACCTTCCGGTCAGTAAATTCGCGCTCTAATCACTTGGGCCATCTCGCAGGAGGGACTATCTGTTTCTAGTTAACCCAAAGCGAACGATCTTAACACTTGAAGATTAGATAAAATGATCGAGTGACCACGCATGTCAGGTAACTTTCTGGTGCTAAATCAGTCTTGTAAGAAACCGGCGCATACTTGAGCTTGTTTATTTGCTAGTTATTTGAAGTGCTTGATATGGAGTTTGTCGTTTAAGAACGAGTTTTTAGTTGCGACGTTTGTGAGATCTTCAATGTTCTGTGATCTTTCATGTTGATCTTTAATTGGGAGTACTTGAGCCTCCGATGAGTCTTGCTAAAGTACTTGACAAGTCAGTCGCTGACAGCATTTTCTGGTGTTTTGGTGGAACTATATGGAGGACAATACAGAAATCTTGGTTTCATTGTGCAGTTTTGATTTCATGTTTTATGTCAATATTCCCTTTTGAAGCTCTCCTGAAAAATTCCGGTTTGCTTCGGTAGCTGAATTAATATTTGTTCCATCGCACCATCGCGCCTAAAAGGTCTACGGTTTTTTCTTCGAGTATCCCGGGAGAGGTATGCTATATAGAATTTGCACTCATTTTCTACCGCTCGCTTCCCGAAGTTAGCATAATGAGCAAATATTCTAGTTTAACAGAAGGTAAACTGGATAGGTGACATAGAAAAAATAGCTCAGCGTTCAAACACAACAAATTCGTCGTATCCGGTTTGTGTTCAGGAGTTTTAAAGACGGGGAAAACAAACGGCCTGAGTTGGCCTCAGCGTGTAAAATCTGCTGTATGACTATTGGTTCAGAGTGGTTGTTCTTCAATTTGCGCGAATTCACTCTTAGAGAAACTGTACCAAATGTACCGCCAATATTTTTGTCACAGCACCGTTATTTTCTTAAAAAAACAGGCGTGATGTAGGTCATAGTATGCACGAACAATGCAAAAAACATGCAGATGAAAGGAAAATACGGAATTGTGCATATTTAAATCTTATTTGGGAGCTTTCTGTGTGCGCTGCTGCATTTTTTAAGCAGAATCGTGCGCCAGTGGGGTTCAGTTCCCCATAGCTTATGGAATTTGCAGACTCAAGGTGTTCCTCGATTGGTGCCAATGGAGTACTTACAGCATTTGGTGTGGGGACATATTGTCACATACGTCTGTATATTCCTTTCTCTCATGTCCGCTGGACGAAACCCAGCACTGATGATTCCAATGATGCGAGCATACCATGCAGAAGCCTGTTGGCTTGCTGAGATTTAAGTGTTAGGTGACTGCGGCAGCTCTAAAAACTTCTGCACAGGTTCAAGATTGCTTAGTTCTTCCCACTCAACGTAGATTTTTAGCTTGGCTTAAGATGGCTCGTGGGTTAAGGTGCAGACTAAATGCTTGTGAGTTCAGGGGTTCACACCAAACCGCAGTATATCGACTGCTCTAGTATGAGCTTTAGCAACCTGGCATCGTCTCACACTTTCTGTACTGAAAGGGCGTTTTCCAAAGACAATATCACAGATGAAATGTGCCTACGGTAGGTGTCAAGACGTGATCCATATCTCTTTACGTGGCATCCAAGGGACACACTACTGCATAAAATTACAAAAAATACGTATAGAGGCCTAATCCATTAGTGTGTTCACCTACCACTTGTCGTACTCAACATTTACGAGGTCTTTGTCAATAAAGGTTTCGGTGCTACGAAGACCACCATTGATCTCCTGTCGGATTCCAAATGATCCCTACATTTTTTCCCAGGTTTTCGCACCTATGCCAATTTGAACCTGTCACCTAACGAAAAGAAATCACCAACTAGAAACTAAAATCTGATCATACTGGTCAAGCGATCTTACAAATGGTATTTTATTATTGGGGTAGAATAAGATAAAAAGCTTTTTCATCGACAACCGTTGTCCGATGTCATTGTACTCGAATTAATACGATTTGATTCGTCCATTAGGCGAATGCATGCGGTTTGCAACCACGACGCAGTCAGCTCTTTTTGTTCTAAAACTGTCAAAATAAAGTATGGACATAACCAGCTATAAGTGACCCGCCTTCATTATCTCCATTTATCAAGCAGCCTGATTTCACTGAGTTAAGTAAGCTTGATGTCTAGCTCTAGTTACTTCTCAACACTGTCTGTCTATTATTTGTGTCTAGGAGAGACCAGTGTTTTGCGTTCTACTCGTGAAAGATAAACTGCTTCTAGTCAACTGATAGTGCGCTTATACACTGATGCCGTATCTAGACCTCGACAGTTGAGTTGACCCAACTCAATGGTACAGAGAGCAAAATGGAATAATTTGACCCTTACCACATGCAGTGTACACCAGATGCTACATTAACAGGACTACGATTCTGGCTTTCAGGAGTATTTCAACTGAATTGTAAAATGTATTATAGGTCTTGGCTGCATGGCACTGTACTTGGTTAAACATCATTCATTTTGGTGAAGAAAGCTCCGTCTGTACTCATCACAGCTCCTGACCATCGCGAACGGCCTTAAAATCCCCTTGTTAGCCTACTTTGTAGCTTAAAAGACGTCTAAATAATGTGAGTGGTATGCTAGGTGTCACAACGACAGGAATATTTGTTAGTGACACTTTGTGTCTCTACACCTGGAGTGTACAACTGATTGCTCTGGTTGGGAACGATTGTATTATTTCCGTATATCCATATATTCCCGTATATCCCAACTAATTTCACCTTTGGAGTCATATTCAAAAATGATAGATGAGCCAACTAAGTGTAACATTATCAACTGAAAGCTTCTCGCAGATGACGTATTGTTTACAACTTCTGAATGGCCCGTCATGGGACAATACGCAGTAAAAAAATCGGCAGAAAGTCTTCGAAACCACAGGTGCCTGGCCACTGGATCCACGATAACGCGGTTCGGTTCATCCAATATTAGTTCTAAAACTCGATGAAACATCTCGGATTTAAACTGTCCTTCTAGAATACGCAAAGTTCGGCTAGATAGAGACGCGATAACGCCCGATCGGACTGCGTCAGTAGGGTCCTTGTATTTCCTATTCGCTCGGAACGGGCTTCGGATTTCCGTAATTTACATGAACTTTAGATGAAAGTTATATTGTTCGTTCTTCATTATGACCGATTGGTAATATTATCTCTGAATCTTCAGGAATTTTGAATTTTCTGTGAGTGTTTGGCGCAATGGATTAATCCATTATCTGGTGGATTGTTCTATTTGATTGAGTGAACCATTCTTAAGTCAGCCTAGCTTGCCGAGTCAAAACATATGGCTCTCTATAATGCCACAGATGGCATTTACAGGACCTTCATTTTTAGGAATTCCTGGACTACCAGAAAGTACGTTGGTGGTTTCGGCTAACAGGCTGATGAATAGTTCCACTGTTAGCGAAAGTAGTATAGTATTTTATACTATGTTTTGGTCATTATGTTTATGCAAAGCGTGTATATCAAAATTAGGGGATAACAATAAGGGAAATGGAAAGCGTCGAGGTTCAGAAGGTGCCATCAACATCAACACCTGTCATATCGTACCTTGTATAAAAATGTCGAAGTTGTGGTTCAAATATCACTCCCTCTGTTAAATTCTCTCAGATTAGTCTAATGAGACCTGGTTTGACAGCATAGGATAACAAACAGATGCTTGGATAGACTAGATGCAAAATGAATTTTATCTCCAAGATCAAGCTGAGTTACCACTTTAGTATTTCTAACATGCACATGTGCCAACAACACCACGTGATTTTAGGGCCTCTTGTATCTTGTGGTATAGTGATAGACGGGAGTACTCGAAGAAAATTCATCTGTGGTGACACTAGTAGTGACAAGTTACGCGCTGGTGTTGGTTCCTGCACACAACATGCGTGAACTGCTACGTTGCTTATAAGTGAATTCGGCTAGGAAATGATGATGAATAGATCGCAGTCCGAGCACGGCACATCCAAACAAATTGATTTAGTGACGAAAAGAATGTTTGGCATGAACAGCACGTGATGATACTGATTTTTTCTTTTGAGTGGGACTACTTTATGTGTTGTCTGCGGGCTACAAGGATTTCAGGGATTTTGAAGTACCACTGTATCCATAAATAAGAATACTAACCCCAACATTAACAACTTTGGAGTGAGAAAAATGGCAGCCAGTGTGCAATCCATCCGGAAGAGCGCTGTAACATTTAGCTTCAACTAAGGAAGTAAGAGATTTTGAAGAAAGTGATAAATACCAGAATTTTCATTCTATAGTTTTTTCAGCACACAAAGTACACCATAGTTGGTATCACTACGGATGCAGTTTTCAAATGTTTTGGAAGTATGTCCATTGCCTTGCAAATTAATTACCTGGTAATAAAGCACCATTCACTTCAAACACAACTGAATTTGTGACTAAGAAAACGATGATATCCGGAAAGATCATTACTGTGACTACAAGAGCTCACTTTAATCTTTTAGTAAACTTTTACCTTCTGAATAAGAGGATTCTGTCCCATAGTATCATGCTCCGAAGAATAAAACTCCCCAACTTGTTTTTAAGTGCACGTTTCTAGTTCGGCCACCGTAGTCAGCTAGTTCTGGCAGAATCCTGAGAGCTTTTTGGACAGTTTTAACAAAAGCGATTAGGTCTCAGACGGAAAATCCTGCAAATACCTAATAGTTAGTGTATTTAAAATGAAGGAATGAAACACTGAAGATCCTGAATAGCATAGTGGATTTAAAATGCTGGTTGCCCGAAGACCGTAGATAGTCTCGGCTATTTCTTCGCTAGACTCAAGCCAGTAGGTGGTACTGCAAAGTGTCCAGATAGTTCCAGGCCACGTGAATGAGATTTTACCTAGAAGGACATCAAACGCAACCCTGTTTGTAAGTTTCTTTAAACGTATTAGTGGACACCGCTCATTCTACTCTGCTACAGTATAATAGTTATCAATAGCCTAAGGATGGCTTTTCATAATGAACCATCACTGCTATGCCTAAATCACTTCGCCAATTTACTATCAAATGGCCGGTCATCGCAATTTGGCGAAA